CGTGCACGAAAGTGATAAAGCAATGCGCACTCACCAGACCCGCATAAAATATGCGCCTTTGTGTATAAATGATCCAGATGTCATCCGATACTGGGTGGTCCTCCCTCAGCTGTGTATGAGGCTGATGATCCTCTCCACTTAGGGGTCCCCCTGGTGTTGGACGTTAAAGGATCTGGTCTGGGTCCCTCCGGTGTATCCAGGAGCAGGTCTGCAAATTAGAGTGCTCCCCCTCCTTGCTGTTCCTTCACATGTGTGTTTTCTCTGTGCTCCGTACCTAGGTGAGCACAGAGAAACACACATGTGAAGGAACAGCAAGGAGGGGGAGCACTCTAATTTGCAGACCTGCTCCTGGATACACCGGAGGGACCCAGACCAGATCCTTTAACGTCCAACACCAGGGGGACCCCTAAGTGGAGAGGATCATCAGCCTCATACACAGCTGAGGGAGGACCACCCAGTATCGGATGACATCTGGATCATTTATACACAAAGGCGCATATTTTATGCGGGTCTGGTGAGTGCGCATTGCTTTATCACTTTCGTGCACGGATACCTGAACCAAGTCACCTGAATACCTAAGTCACCTGCATACTTGAGCACCTAATCTCTGTCACCTAATTGAGGAGGACTTTTTATTGATCGAACTGATTGAATACATGTCATTATCTATATATGTTTAGCGCTGCACTTTATTTTATGTTTAGTAAGGTCTTCTAGGGGTTATTGGTACCTCATTCGTGCATAGCAGCTTTACAATTGTTTAGTACTAAGGCGCTTCTCTCCAGTCACTTTAATATCCCTCAGTTGTTTCCAAATTACTGGGCAGCACTACTAACCAAGTAAGGGAACTTTGATGGGGGCCCCATGGGCCCCATGATATGCTTGCCTCTACCTTGGTTGGTGGGAGGAGCACACAGTATATACCTCGGAGAGGTACCTTGGCCATGTTGGATTATTGCTAAGGTACATCGACGATGTACTAATGCTTTGGTACAGCACAAAACTAGAACTGGATTTGGACCTATATTAAAGTGCAAAAAACCACTAATCCCAAAATAGGGATAAAATATAGTGAGTACCAATCAATACATTCGCTGAAAGTGACTGGTGCTATTGCCTTCCAAAAAAACTGCTAAATACATATGAAATAAATAACTGGTAATGAATAAATAAAGTCCAAAAAATGTGCAAAGAATATGTGCAGAAAAATCGGTGCAAAAATGCAGATAATTGCGCTATAGTTTTCCACTCCAAATGCTTTTTGTGCTTGTGCAACACTCAGGTGGATCAATATCCATAAATGGCCAGATTGCCTCTTCACCTCGTTACCCGCGACCCCTAAGGGCCTCAAGGCTTTCTACAGCAGACAACTCCACACCATGCGGCATCACATGAACCAGACTCCAATGGCTCCATTTAACCTCTACTGATGATTTCCTTACAGCACTGGCTCTCCCCTTCAAGCTGTGGTCACCGCAGTACAATTCATGGGTACATATCATTATACCAGGGCCATAGAAAAGTAAGCATAAGAGACCTCCATAGTGTAACTCTATTTATTAGATAAATGCCAATAAAAGTCGCCAAATGGACACTCACAGTTTTTTAAATTTCACATAAGCAGTTTTCCCATATGCTATGGGTGTACTGTAGGGCACTGGGTGTAGTAAGATGGCGTCTACCGGAAGTGCGACACTGCGCTCTACGCGTTATGTCACGATCGTCATGTGACTTCCTGAAGACGCTATAACTTTCACACAAACCAAATGATACACACTTATTCATTTTCTTTACCAAAGACATGTAGAAGAATACAGTTTGTCCTAAATATATGCAGAAATTAGATTTTTTTTAAATTTTTTTATTGGATGTTTTATAACAGAAAGTAGAAAATATATATTTTTTAATTTTCAGTCTTTTTTCATTTAGAAAATAAAAAAAAAAAAAACAGTGGTGATCAATTACCACCAAAATAAAGCTGTAATTGTGTGAAAAAAATTATATGAATTTAATTTGTGTACAGTGTTGCATGACAATTGCCAGTTAAAGTAGAACAGTGCTGAATAGCAAACAAGAACCCAGTTATGAAGGGGGTAAAACCTTCCGGAGGGTCATTGATTAAAACAGATTTTTTTTTCTTTACCAGCTTCATGTCTAGAGATCATCTGCAATGGTACATTGTATTTTTTCCTCTCACAGAGGAGAAAGAGACATGGAAGAAAAGTTTCTTGCTACTAATTACTGTGATCAGGGGCGGACTGAAAACTCATGGGGCCCCCAGGCAATAGGGGATCATGGGGCCCCTGTGTCCTTGCCTAAACTCAAAAAAGCCTATGAAAACGGTACCAGGGGCATCTCATGGGGCCCTCTACTGACCCCGGGCCCTCGGGCAGTGCCCGAGTTCCCAAATGGTCAGTCCGCCCCTGACTGTGATTGGCTATCAAGGTGATCATGTGATCAGCAGTTGGTCCCACTGGCTCCCATTTGTTATCTCAGACCAGGAGCTGGTGGTGACAGCTTGGTCTCAGTGCTAGGAGAGTGCAGTTAAGCACATTCCCAGCACAAGCACAGGTATGCATATTCGGTATGTGACAGCATGGCATAAAGCCCAGTCTGTGTTGCCACATAAATGTGTGCAGATGGCAAGAAAGGGTTAATGTAAAACTTGGTCTTGTTTGTTTCTTCATTGATCCTCAAACCTGGGTCAACATTGAAATAAGCACACACCATTTGCAGCAATTACGAGGTTTCTCACTTGTGGTTGAGGTTTCCCAATGTGTTAATCTGTCTTCCAACTCAAGTCTCAGCAGGTAGACTACCACTTTTCACAGGTTCATCATAATTATCACCTGAATATTTACTTACTGTGAACCAAAAACCTGCATCTGTCACACTTCAATTCAGGCATACTGTAGCTTTTCACTGCCAACAGTGAGAGTGAAGAATCCTTCTTTTTCATTCAGCTGATCTGCTTTTCTAACTTCCTACTCCATATACTGTTTAGGTCAATAGTAAGTGTCATATACTCTGACCTATCTTGTATTGGAGGTGGTGGTTTATAATAGTAAAATACACTGCATCAGTATCCCTATTTACTGTAGTAAAGAGTAGACCTGCTCTCCCACGCTGATGGCTCTGTAAACTGTTCCTCTCATCCTTTGCCACTCTTCTGTGAGGTCAGAAGTTGTAAGTGAAGGAGTGCCGCAAAGATTATAGCAAAGGGACCAATGGTACTCAGTAACACACTTTTGAGTGGAAATATCAGTCACTCATGGCAGAGCCCCTGGGAGCTTATGACTGAAACCTAGGGTTCAATGGAACCCCAGTTGATAAACCCTACTGTAGAGTCTTTGTTCTTCCCTCCTCAGCTTGGACATGATGAAGAGGTCAAAGGTAGGAGGTCTTTTCTTATGATCTGGTCCTAGCCAGGGTCCTGTGCTATAGTCTAGATTATCTACTATGAGAGGTGGATACCCAGGGATTATATATAGAGATGAGCGAATCGAACTTGGCGAAGTGGAATTCGTTTCGAAGATTAGGAAAAATTTGATTCGCGCCGAATCCGAATATTAGCAGACTTCGAATGCGCGATTCGAAATTTTCCAAAAATGGCGGCGACATGTGTGGCGACAGAGCGGGGATCTCTGGGAAGGCGCGCAGACAAGGCGCGCTGACCCATAATGCATTCATTCATGACATGTGATCGCATTAGCCAATCAGCAGCCAGCCCAGCCAGCACTGTGTAATGGTCGAGCTATAAATTGCGGCTATCTTAGAATTCTCCATTAGCCTCCGGTCATTCAAGAGAGACAGACCTCTCTGTATTAGGGACAGAGTTAGGGCCAAAGAGACTTTTAGGGCCACAGAATCGTTACTTAGGGACAGAGAATTGTTACTCAGGACACAGAATTGTTACTCAAGGACACAGAACTGTTACTCAGGGACACAGAATTGTTACTCAGGGACAGACACAGAATTGTTACTGAGGGACACAGAATTGTTTACTGAGGGACACAGAATTGTTACTCAGGGACACAGAATTGTTACTCAGGACACAGAACTGTTACTCAGGGACACAGAATTGTTACTCAGGGACACAGAACTGTTACTCAGGGACACATAATTGTTACTCAGGGAAAGACACAGAATTGTTACTGAGGGACACAGAATTGTTACTGAGGGACACAGAATTGTTAACTGAGGGACACAGAATTGTTACTCAGGGACAGACACAGAATTGTTACTGAGGGACACAGAATTGTTACTGAGGGACACAGAATTGGTACTCAGGGACACAGAATTGTTACTCAGGGACACAGAATTGTTACTCAGGGACACAGAACTGTTACTCAGGGACACAGAATTGTTACTCAGGGACAGACACAGAATTGTTACTGAGGGACACAGAATTGTTACTGAGGGACACAGAATTGTTACTCAGGGACAGACACAGAATTGTTACTGAGGGACACAGAATTGTTTACTGAGGGACACATAATTGTTACTGAGGGACACAGAATTGTTACTGAGGGACACAGAATTGTTACTCAGGAACACAGAATTGTTACTGAGGGACACAGAATTGTTACTCAGGGACAGACACACAGAATTGTTACTGAGGGACACAGATTTGTTACTGAGGGACACAGAATTGTTACTGAGGGACACAGAGAATTGTTACTCAGGGACACAGAATTGTTACTCAGCGACACAGAATTGTTACTCAGGGACAGACACAGAATTGTTACTCAGGACACAGAATTGTTACTGAGGGACACAGAATCGTTACTCAGGGACACAGAATTGTTACTCAGGGGACACAGAACTGTTACTTAGGGACACAGAATTGTTACTCAGGGGACACAGAACTGTTACTCAGGGACACAGAATTGTTACTCAGGGACAGACACAGAATTGTTACTGAGGGACACAGAATTGTTACTGAGGGACACAGAATTGTTACTCAGGGACACAGAATTGTTACTCAGGGGACAGACACAGAATTGTTACTCAGGGACACAGAATTGTTACTCAGGGACACAGAATTGTTACTCAGGGACAGACACAGAATTGTTACTCAGGGACACAGAAATTGTTACTGAGGGACACAGAATCGTTACTCAGGGACACAGAATTGTTACTCAGGGACACAGAACTGTTACTTAGGGACACAGAATTGTTACTCAGGGACACAGAATTGTTACTCAGGGACAGACACAGAATTGTTACTGAGGGACACAGAATTGTTACTGAGGGACACAGAATTGTTTACTCAGGGACAGACACAGAATTGTTACTGAGGGACACAGAATTGTTACTGAGGGACACAGAATTGTTACTTACTCAGGGACAGACACAGAATTGTTACTCAGGGACACAGAATCGTTACTCAGGGACACAGAATCGTTGAATTAAAGAGTATGTCAGACAACACGCAGAGGAGTGGCAGAGGAGGCAATGTTTCAGGAGCGAGCAGACGTGGCAGCAGAGAAAGGGGTCGAGGCAGCACTAGTCGCAGCCAGAGGCCAGTGCTCCCGATGTCATCCAGAGGTCGTGTCTCCACCGACAAACCCTGCCGTCATCGATTGGTTGGCTCGGTCGTCTTCCTCTTCCCAGGTCACCTTCTGACACCTACAGCCAACGGTCGGGTGGGTACGTCAGACACAACCGTTAGTTGGCATGGCCCGGGAGCAAGCCCACTGAAATCACGTGTCCTCTAACCTGCCCCTGTCCCTTTGGTGTTCCCTCACCAAGCGAAGTATCGCATGCTGTGGGCTCAGCCCCACTGTACAGTGAGGAAGAGCTAACAGAGGGCGGTCAGGAACGGGGGGAGACATCCGCCTCTTCAGCAGCCAGGGCGAAGAAGTACTGGCGAGGAGAGTGGCTCGGTAGCCGGTGTAGAGACAGGTCTGTCTCCTGACCCACACGCAGCCGAGGGGGCTAGTAGTGAGGCGGAGACCCTAATTGATGATGATGAGGCTGATCGCACTTGGCAGCCTCGTCGTCATCAGGCTATTGCTTCCGCATCATCAGGAGAAGAGGGTGCCAGCTTGGCAGCGAGCAAAACAGTCGGTGGGTTGCCCAGGAGGCAGCAGGGTCGCAGCTAGCAGTGTCAGTGGAGGCAAACGGCCATGGAGTAGAGCACCAGCTCCACTGCAGCCTACCACCACGGCCAGTAGTGGTGCCGGTGTGCACCGAGGAAGTAGCAGTCAGCCAGTGAGGAGTAGCGGGGGCAAAGTTTCCTACTCGGCGGTGTGGCAATTTTTCGTCAAGCCGCCCGAGGAAGTAAACGTAACCGTATGTCGACTATGTGGCCAGAAAGTCAAGCGTGGCCAGGGGGCCCATGTCTCCATCGCCACACTCTGCCATGTGCCACTTTCAGGTCTCCTCACACTGCTGGTGGGTTCCATTTTGTCATAGGGTGCTGGCAGATTACGGGCCTCCCATTGCTGCTGCCAGGCCCGTAATCTGTCATGGGCCCCTGTACCGCCTCCTCATGCTGCTGCCAGGTCCAGAGTGTGTCATGGGTCCCTGTACGGCCTCCCATTGCTGCTGTCTCCATCGCCACACTCTGCCATGTGCCACTTTCAGGTCTCCTCACACTGCTGGTGGGTTCCATTTTGTCATAGGGTGCTGGCAGATTACGGGCCTCCCATTGCTGCTGCCAGGCCCGTAATCTGCCATGGGCCCCTATACCGCCGCCTCCTCATGCTGCTGCCAGGCCCGTAATCTGTCATGGGTCCCTGTACGGCCTCCCATTGCTGCTGTCTCCATCGCCACACTCTGCCATGTGCCACTTTCAGGTCTCCTCACACTGCTGGTGGGTTCCATTTTGTCATAGGGTGCTGGCAGATTACGGGCCTCCCATTGCTGCTGCCAGGCCTGTAATCTGCCATGGGCCCCTGTACCCGCCTCCTCATGCTGCTGCCAGGCCCGTAATCTGTCATGGGTCCCTGTACGGCCTCCCATTGCTGCTGTCTCCATCGCCACACTCTGCCATGTGCCACTTTCAGGTCTCCTCACACTGCTGGTGGAGGGTTCCATTTTGTCATAGGGTCCTGGCAGATTACGGGCCTCCCATTGCTGCTGCCAGGCCCATAATCTGTCATGGGCCCCTGTACCGCCTCCTCATGCTGCTGCCAGGCCCGTAATCTGTCATGGGTCCCTGTACGGCCTCCCATTGCTGCTGTCTCCATCGCCACACTCTGCCATGTGCCACTTTTAGGTCTCCTCACACTGCTGGTGGTGTTCCATTTTGTCATAGGGTGCTGGCAGATTACGGGCCTCCCATTGCTGCTGCCAGGCCTGTAATCTGCCATGGGCCCCTGTACCGCCTCCTCATCATGCTGCTGCCAGGCCCGTAATCTGTCATGGGTCCCTGTACGGCCTCCTCATGCTGCTGCCAGGTCCAGAGTGTGTCATGGGTCCCTGTACGGCCTCCCATTGCTGCTGTCTCCATCGCCACAACACTCTGCCATGTGCCACTTTCAGGTCTCCTCACACTGCTGGTGGGTTCCATTTTGTCATAGGGTGCTGGCAGATTACGGGCCTCCCATTGCTGCTGCCAGTGTCCGTAATCTGCCATGGGCCCCTGTACCGCCTCCTCATGCTGCTGCCAGGCCCGGTAATCTGTCATGGGTCCCTGTACGGCCTCCCATTGCTGCTGTCTCCATCGCCACACTCTCGCCATGTGCCACTTTCAGGTCTCCTCACACTGCTGGTGGGTTCCATTTTGTCATAGGGTGCTGGCAGATTACGGGCCTCCCATTGCTGCTGCCAGGCCTGTAATCTGCCATGGGCCCCTGTACCGCCTCCTCATGCTGCTGCCAGGCCCGTAATCTGGTCATGGGTCCCTGTACGGCCTCCCATTGCTGCTGTCTCCATCGCCACACTCTGCCATGTGCCACTTTCAGGTTTCCTCACACTGCTGTTGGGTTCCATTTTGTCATAGGGTGCTGGCAGATTACGGGCCTCCCATTGCTGCTGCCAGGCCCGTAATCTGCCATGGGCCCCCGTACCGACCTCCTCATGCTGCTGCCAGGTCCAGAGTGTCTCATGGGTCCCCTGTACGGCCTCCCATTGCTGCTTGTCTCCATCGCCACACTCTGCCATGTGCCACTTTCAGGTCTCCTCACACTGCTGGTGGGTTCCATTTTGTCATAGGCTGCTGGCAGATTACGGGCCTCCCATTGCTGCTGCCAGGCCCGTAATCTGTCATGGGCCCCCGTACCGCCTCCTCATGCTGCTGCAGGTCCAGAGTGTCTCATGGGTCCCTGTACGGCCCTCCCATTGCTGCTGTCACCATCGCGACACTCTGCCATGTGCCACTTTCAGGTCTCCTCACACTGCTGGTGGGTTCCATTTTGTCATAGGGTGCTGGCAGATTACGGGCCTCCCATTGCTGCTGCCAGGCCCGTAATCTGTCATGGGCCCCTGTACCGCCTCCTCATGCTGCTGCCAGGCCCGTAATCTGCCATGGGTCCCTGTACGGCCTCCCATTGCTGCTGTCTTCATCGCCACACTCTGCCATGTGCCACTTTCAGGTCTCCTCACACTGCTGGTGGGTTCCATTTTGTCATAGGGTGCTGGCAGATTACGGGCCTCCCATTGCTGCTGCCAGGCCCGTAATCTGCCATGGGCCCCCGTACCGACTCCTCATGCTGCTGCCTGTCCCGTAATCTGTCATGGGCCCCTGTACCCGCCTCCTCATGCTGCTGCCAGGTCCAGAGTGTCTCATGGGTCCCTGTACGGCCTCCCATTGCTGCTGTCTCCATCGCCACACTCTGCCATGTGCCACTTTCAGGTCTCCTCACACTGCTGGTGGGTTCCATTTTGTCATAGGGTGCTGGCAGATTACGGGCCTCCCATTGCTGCTGCCAGGCCCTTAATCTGCCATGGGCCCCCGTACCGACTCCTCATGCTGCTGCCAGGCCCGTAATCTGTCATGGGCCCCTGTACCGCCTCCTCATGCTGCTGCCAGGTCCAGAGTGTCTCATGGGTCCCTGTACGGCCTCCCATTGCTGCTGTCTCCATCGCCACACTCTGCCATGTGCCACTTTCAGTCTCCTCACACTGCTGGTGGGTTCCATTTTGTCATAGGGTGCTGTATGGCCTCCCATTGCTGCTGCCTCCACCGCCACACTGTGGCTCCACATTCTGGTTTTGGCCCCGTGACTGCCCAAATGAGTGAAGTGTGCGGTGATTCTAAGATCGACGGCACTCATCTGCATGTCATACTGACTGACAGTATTATTTCTCTTCCCCAGCAGACTCCAAGGGCATTTAAATTAAAGGTACAGTGTTCTGCACTAATATAAAGGCTCTCTGAAGCCTAGAAACACCCTTTTTATAAGTTAAATTCGCAGCGAATATATTTGACTCGAATCGAATTTATTCCGCGAATTCGCCGAATCAGCCGAATCGAATTTTTGAATACTTTGCTCATCTCTAATTATATACCAAGAGCTCCTGCACTATAAGTGCCCTGATATATAAAACACCATTGTCAGAATATATTTCTTTAAAACTGATTTTACTTTGCTGTGATTTTATTTTTGTCTCTTCCTGGTTGTTTTTTCCTCTCTTTTCTCACAGGCATCCTTGCCTAAACATTATTTGGCTGTTAACTGCATGCTCCTTAAATAATGGCTCTGTTTTATAGAGGGTACTAATGCATGGCCAAAATCACTATACTCCTGGGTTTGAGGAAAACACAGAATTCCATGAGATGCAGACTTAATCAAAATGGTTGCAGCTCAGTACTTTTGTTCCACACTGTAGCTCAAGAGGAATTCCAATACCCCTAGTTGTGGTATATGAATGTTGGGCTGCCTGTATATGCCTCAGTGATCTATATCTGGGATGCCTCTGAATGTAAACCTCTGTAATCCACAATTGTCAGAATATCTATTTTCTGGTTTTGGTTCAGCAAATAGGATGGTGCAACGTCCTACTAAGCCTTGTTGTGGGCTCTTCATACCCCTCTAGTGCTTTACTTGCCCAGATTCTTTTAATACAACAGCCCCAATATGCACCCCTTTAAATAACTTCAGACCAGGCTCAATGACAAATTTTAACATTCTTTACTGCTTAACTCCAGTGCAAACATGATAAAAGTGCAACACTTCCTTCCTTAATTCTGAATAACTGATAGGTGGCCCAGGCATAGTCCATGTTAGTCCATGGTGGCAGAGTCTATACTTGGTGGTACCCCAGTACCCTTAGTGATAGGATGACACACAGTTTCTCCTTGGATTTATTGAGATGTC